GTTTCTACTAGCTTCTTGTTACTACTAGTAAGGCACCTGTTACTACTAGCGAGGCACTTGTTTCTACTAGCTTCTTGTTACTACTAGTAAGGCACCTGTTACTACTAGCGAGGCACTTGTTTCTACTAGCTTCTTGTTACTACTAGTAAGGCACCTGTTACTACTAGCGAGGCACTTGTTCCGTTCGTAGCTTACGTCGGCCTTTTGAGGGAAGGACATGACGTCAAAGAGCGGCATCACCTGCGACGGAAGGAGCCGAAGAGGCGGAGAAGGCGGAGCGGAGCCGAAGACCCCAGCTGAGCGGTCTTCGACCGTTTTAGGAAGGGGGGGAACGACCGGTTGGAAAGTGAGCCGAAAACTGCCAGTTTGGATGCCAGTTTTTGATCCAGGTCGCTCTTGACCCATCCCCAGTCGTGAAGCTGGCAGTTAGTGTTCTGAAAAAATTAGAAGACACCGGTGCTTACCGTAAAAAACTACTACCGTGTGACCACACTGTTTGGGAAAAAATAGAAGACACAACAGAGTTGATGTGGGGGGAGTCCCACTATCCGGAGGCTCCGAGTGCCAGGTGCTCCGACTTCCACGGCCTGGAAGCCAAACGGCCTACTGAACTCACCGGAAAAGCGTCCCAACCAATCGCAGAGGATCTATTGGCATATCAAAAACAATGGCCGTTTGGACGTCGTTGCAAACATCTGCTCAAAATCCACAAAGACACCAATTTGGACGTCGTTTTGGATGCCGTTGGCAAGCCTAAAAACGCCCTGTCTTTTTGTTTTTTACCGGTGTCCGCTGGTCACAACAAAAAACGCCGTCTCTGGAACAAAGAACGCCGTAACGCCACTTATATACATGCAAAGGCAATTATTGGTGCCGTTTCGATGATCCAGAATATGAATGAATAAGACCCACATTCACCATCAAATGCCAACAATTGTAGGCCATATTTGTAGACCAGATCATGCTACCTCGTTTGGGAATGGATTTCGGCACTCTAACGGTCATGGTCTGAGGTGCACACCATCACCAAGAAGATCGTCAAAGCAGCCACTCGGGTGGCGAGCAGGTTGTTCAATCTCACGGAGATGACTTTCCTCGGGAAAAAACCAGAGATCAAATGTCAAACAGCTGCAGAATCGTGCTGGAATGTCATGCCATAGATGCTTGTTTGGGTTTGGGTTTGAGTACAGAGTCGTGGGTCTCTGGTGAAACTTGTTGCGCACGTGCAGACCAAGCTTCGCGATGCTTTTCTTCACGCTCGGCTGCTCCTGCGCAAAGGATATACAAAGCTCTGTTCTGACAGGACCTCTACTCAGAAGTGAACTCAGGAAAACAAGAAGCTACTAGGAGCTCCTGGCATCGCTACTAGGAGCAAGAACGCTACTAGGGGCTCCTGGCCTTACTACTAGGAACAAGAATTCAAGTAGACCTCTAAGGCTTCAAAGCGTTCCTCTAAGGCTTCAAAGCCCTTGGGCTTCGCCCGCAGCCCGTGGGTCGAAGCAGCAGCGCCCTCGTCGAACTCCAAGAAGCAGCGGCACAAGCGCAGGACCCGGGTCAAGCGCCCGGCGCGGGCGCCCACCCGGGCTGCACGGCTGGCACGCAGGAGGAGGATCTTGGATTGACCTGGATGCTTCTCGGACATGCGGGGCCTCAGCCGATTCAGTCGATTTCTGTATAGAAGAAACAGGATTTGCGAAAGAAACATATCTTTTCCACTTGGGGCTTACGTTTGGTTGTTGGTGTTTGAGTTGTTTGTCAGTTGCTTCTGGAAGCAACTAACTCATACTAGAGGGATATAGACGGATATAGAGGGATATACAACTGACTTGGTGTTGCCAACCCACATTTGTCATAGCAGATTGTCACGTGCCTCAGGCCCCCGCTCATTGGCCTTTGCTCCGAGAAGGAAAGAGATGTCGAATGCCATCGACACAGTGCCGATGATATCCATGAGTTGGAAAAAACTAAGCAAATATTGCCTTAGCTGAGAGGGGAAGCAAAGAACACCACTGAAGGTTTCATGGGTGGCAAGAAAATACGAGATGTGCGCTCAAAGCCAATACAATCCTTCTCAAGGTTTGCTTTTTGTATCTTTGTGCCATGACCCACATGACACAGGCGACACACCACGGGGAAGCCGGGAAGACCACACAGGGACGGGCGCACGGATCACACCCCGCAAGGCGCACGGCGTCACGTCTCCAAGAGGCGCATCTGTCAGAGAGAGGGCCACCAGCTCCACGGTAAAAAGCACCATGCTGATGGTCATGATCAAATCCGTCCAAACCTGGTTTCTTCCGCGGTAGTAACAGGTGCCCTACTAGTAGAAACAAGAAGCTATAGTAGAAACAAGTGCCTCGCTAGTAGTAACAGGTGCCTTACTAGTATAGTAACAAGAAGCTAGTAACCGTTTGTGTGTACGGAATCGGATGTGGCCGTTGACGAGCTGAGGAGTTGGCACTGGTGGAAAAATCCAGAAGCTTGGACATGTCGGGTAAAAGAAGAGCACTGAGCAGCGCAAGCTGCATAATCCTCAGCGCAAGCGATGCCAGGCGCAAGCTCAGCTGACATATTTCATCGCATGTACAACATGAAGAGACCTATTGCGGGTAGCAGCTTCGCTTCTTGTTGGAGCGATGTCCGACGTCGCTCGCGCATTTCCGGACAGCCTTGTTGGACCTGTTGGACGGTCCCTGGTCCCGGGCGACCATGGATCCCACCTCCACCGCTCCACCAACCCAGTCTGGGATCTTCTGCTCCACACCACCCAGCTCGGACTCGCCGCACCAAGCGTCAGAAGGCTACCTCTACTCTGCATGACCAAGCGTATTCTCCAGGCACAGGCACTGTTGTAGAAGTCACTGGCCTCATGAACGACTCACAAACTCCAGGTGTTTGGTTTTTTCCACCTAGAAGGAGACTCTATAGTTCAACCATGTTCAACCTGGTGAATCTATATTCAACCTGGGGCACTCAAACGGATGTTTCAAGCAAGCAGGGCTTAGGGGGAGAAGAAATGAGAGTCTTCTGGTGAAAGTCCACCGCACTTCATGGGGCACCACAGATTCACCTGATTCACAAATCAGATCCTATTCCACCCACCCCTCCACAAGCTACAGCTAAAGAAAGAACAATAAAAGAGAGCGAATGCCAATTAATTATAGCCACCTCCGACAAACAAAAAGAAACACGTGGACGACCTCTCCCCCCTGTTTAGAAGTAAACACACCCATCGCCGCCTGGAGGGCAGTGCGCAAGTCTTGACACCAACCACACACCTCGGGCGCTGTTCGCCGTTGGCGTCAGGCGGTCGCTGCGTTAGCGCAAGTGTTTGATTTGGCTGTGTCGACTGAGAAGGGTTATGCGATGTTATGCGGTTACGCATAAGGAGTTAGGACATGTGAACATGATGTTCTGCAGACAGGTTTACCCATGGTCTCTCATGCTAGCTGAATGTCGAAGAGAGATTTGAGTTTGGGCTCTCGCAGCTTTTTCTCTTGGAAACACCAGCTGCTTGAAGCGCAGACTTGCCTAAGGCTGAGCCCAACTCACCCCAGAGCTGAGCTCTGGCTGCCCCAGTCCCGCAACGACTGGGGGGCGAAGGCAAGCGCAAGCGCTGCAGGCTGCGGGACTTGCGCGGTGGCTGTGCCCAACAGTTCCCAGGGCTTTCTCCCTGAAATTTTCAGATGTCCCCAGCCTGAGTTTTGGTGGCTTTAAGCACCATGATCCACATCGGAGGGGCCTAGGCCTATGTCGTCTATGTCTGTCAGCCGTCTGTCAGCCTAAGATCTAGGCCTTCAGCCGTTCATCCAAGATGGCCAAGAGCTTTCGCACCTTCTCCGGCGACGGCATCTTGCGCTTCGCCGCCAGGCTGCGCTTGAGCATCTCACGGATCTGCTGCACGGCCACCGAGGCAATCCGGTCTTGAACCACGAAGGGGCAATATCTGCCCAGCCAGGTGGTCATCTGCGGCTCAATCTCATTCACAAAGATTCGCCAGCCCTCCTTCTTACTCTTGTCCGGCACCACTCCAATGTCAATGCGATTCAGTAAGGAGGGCAAAGGCTTGCCTTCCCACTTGTGCACCTTCTTCACCTCTTCCATGGTGCGAATGGCCAACTTCTTACAAGCCTCTTTCAGCTTGCCCTCAGGCTGTTCCCAAAAGCCCTCGTAGTCTACACCGTCGGTGTAGACAGAGTAGGCCCACTCGCCGCCAATGAAGAAATTGCGAATCTCATCAAACACATTGCCATTGGGTTTCAGCACATATGGCTGGACCAGGAACTCCTTCTGCTGCTTATTCTCTGCCTCATACTGCAGCAGTGGTTCAATGTTGTCCAGGAAATCCTGTGTCTTGCCATTGATCACTCCAGCACCGAAGAAGCTCATGTATGCTGGCTTCACAAAAAACTTCTCCCAGCCTTTAGCCACGATCTTCTTCAAGACCTCCCGAGCTTTGAAGCCGTTCTCCACATGAATCGTGTCGATCATCGGAATGCCTTTCTTGGTGCATTGCTTCATGTACCGCGACTTGTGCATGATCCATTCGTAGTAGTCCCAAACAGGATGGTGTCGAGTGTTTGCATTCTTTTGGATCTTTTGGATCCTCTTGGCAAGTGTCGGCTTTCCGTTCATCAAGGCAATGCTCATGTCACCCCAGAAGTTGAAGGTGATGTGATTCTTGGCCAGTCGCTTCTCGGTCATCTGCTCCATAGTCATGAAGTCCACATGGAAGATGTCGGGATGCAACCTCATAATTTTCAGGCCGGTCGACACATCTGCCATGAATTGACCACCCCAACCATCCGCATTGGGACCTGTGTTGTTCTTGATCTTCAGGTGCTCCGGATAATTCCGATCTTGTGTTCCCTGGCGAATAGGGTCGAAGACCTTTCCGTGCACGATGCCAATCCGGATTTTGAAACCTCCGACCCCAGTGGAGCTGGTCTTTGAGGGTGCCTTCTTCATGGTTTTGATGGTTTTCTTCATGGCTGGTTTCTTCACAACCTTCACCATCTTGGCCTCTCTTGGGGCGCCCGTGGAGGCGACGGCTAGGAAGACTTGAGCCACTCTTTGCAGGCAAATGCTCGAAGAATGAGTACAAAAACATAGCATATCAAGGAGCCTCCACGCAAGGACAAAGTGTCCACGGACACAGGAAGAAGCTTCTGGTCAATCCTGTCCCCCTTCACTCCTCACAATCAGTCCAATCTGCCCTGCACTTACACCGGCACCCTAGCATCCACAAAGCCAACACAGCCTCTTGTGCACGGCCGCAGTGGTTCCTTCACAAACGTTCCGCGGTCGCTCTGAGCTCCCACACATTCCATCTGCACCGCTCTTCCTGTGGGGACTTTGCCCCACGTCCCTCCACCGAGGACCTTGCCGAAACCGCAACCACGTGCGTGGGAGGCGTTGCTTCGTCGCCCCAAGCAGGGTGTCAGTGGTGTTCCTTTTCGCCGGTGGAGGAGAGAAAAACGAGCAAACAAACAAGACAGACCGAGCTGGTCAACCTGCGCTTCCTCATTCCTTTGCGGCCCGGCCCAGTTCCACAATTAATTCCATCTTTGGCTTGCATACATGGTCCACATAGAAAAAGGATGAAAAAGGTGCTGTTGGTATTTCCGACGCCAAGTAAAGGCCAGGTTGCAAGGAATTCCGCTACTAGTCGGCGCTGGACTCACCATCTTTTTTCCACCAAAATACCCAACAAGACCTCGGATCGTTGTTGTTGTGTTTAGTATAGAATTGATGGGTCTTTTTTGCTGGAATGTGTCGATCCAGAAGGTTCCTTGGACCCAAAACCACAGTCTTCACATCCAAGCTTTCATCCCAGGACTGCTCCACGTCTTCCGCTCGTCAGCGCTGCCCCGTCCATCTCTCCGCCAAGCTCTCATCCGACTCACTCGGGTCACGCCTTCTGGAACTCTTCTCCCTGAAACGAAGTTCGAAGCGCTTCACGTCGACGCGGACGTCCGACCGGACCGACGCTTCGACCCGAGAGCGGCGAGACGGAGTCCCCAACGCCCGTCGACTGGGGTCGAGCACGGATCATCCATGAGGCCAATTCGGCGCGGCGCGGCGCGAAAGGGGAAGACAGAACAAGTGTTCACCAAGATCTGGTCTGAGTCATTGGCTGCTAGATGCTGCTAGGCTTTTGCTATGTCTAATTAGTCTAATTGGCATTTAGAGGCTGCAAAGCGCCAAGGCTTACTTCTTTCTGTCTCCATTGAAGCATCTTGGAGGTGTTGAACAGAACAATGGACCTTGGCTGCTCAACTGAATCACTGCACAAACAAAATGGCGACTGGCAATGCCGTGTGCAGCCAAAAACAAACACATCATACAAATCATGCCACCATGCTGGCGAAACAAACACTCTCCTCTAATAGAACACCCCCAAATGAGTGGAACCAATGCGAAGATCGGTGAACTGACCGCGTCTATACCCAGCGAACAAGGCCATTTCGTGCTGCGCATTGGCGGATGTCGATCACATGAGACGTCGATCTCCCTGCGGAAAAGTACCACCCATGCGCGCTGGCTAAAGGTGAAACAGGGCGGCCGTTGGAACTGCTGCGCTCCCACGAATGAGGGTGTTGGTTTCCTGCAGCTCTGAACGAGCGCTGTCAATACAAAAAAAAGTGTTTGTTTTTTGCTGTTGTTACTATCACTGCATGTACTAGCCACAACGCGACAGAATTCAAAAGAGATTTAGCTGATCGTCTTACCAATTTAATTAGATCTAATTAGTCTCTTGGCCATCAACTGGCCCCATCATTCACTCAGAGGGTGCAGTTCGGCATCGCCCGAACTTGACACGCACTGTTTTGACAGTGGCCATCAGAATGCACACCACGAAGCCTGCCAAGGAGAGTTGCCCGAATCACCCAAGGTTCAACTAGGGTTGGATCAAAGGGTTTTGAGTGAAGATGTGGATCTGCGTTTGGCGGGCTCCAGACTTGGATGGTGCAGGCATATCTTCCTGAACACCCGCGTTCGCGCAGAATGGGGCCCACCTTCGTCCACTTCAACTCGACCGTGCTCTGCTTCGGAAAATTGGGAGGACAAACACTCTCTGACCTCTCCTGATCGATGCATCGATCAGCTCCCCATGTTGGCCGCCCCACAATCCGCCCCACGATGCTCCACCTCACGGCCCCCCTTTTCCACACGGTTCCCTTTTCTGGCTCCGGGGTTGCTCAGGTGAAGTTTCGCTTCTCGTGCGCTAACCTGCGAGCGAGGAGACGGGTCGACCGGCGGAAAGACCGCAGGACCAGTGGAGGTCGACGTGGAACGGCGATCACGTTGTCTTGCTGCAGTAGTGAAGTTGCTCAGCGTTCCTGTTTGTCCTTACCCTGCCAGCTGGATGGAAAAAGAAAGAGAACACTCTCCCCCCCAAAAAGCGACCTCCACCCCCAGCTGCACGGGGCGGTCGCTGTTGACGAACGCCTCCTGGCCAAGGTCTGGAAGGTCTCGGTGGCCTCCTCCGTGGGCAGGCCCACTGCCTCGGGCGCAAGGGGAGGCTTCACACCGGGGACTTATTCTTCAGTTGTTGAAAAACAATGCTCAGCCACGGTGCATGCCATCGGATGTAGCCGACCGAGTCAAGCCTAAGGGAAAAAACTCTTCAAGGCACTGGTCTGTCTGGGTGCAGGAAAAAACCGACAGATTGCGCGCAACATGATGTTCATTCTGTGGCCCGAGCAAGAGAACCACTGGCAACTCTTTGTTGTAGAGGTGCAAGGCATGTTCCTGAAATTGGCAGTTTCACTGCGTCAAAGGCTCTTGACCGTTCACCGTGCGAAAAACCGCACGGCACGGCACTAAGCTTTCAACGTACTCCCACTTCCATGCACCGCGATAGACAAAGGTCGACCAAATCTCACTCTCGTCCACCTGGCCGGCGAAAAAACACCGCAAACGGCCGGTTCGTGTACTTTCACCATGGCGTGGTGTCCATTTCTCCGCTCTTCTTTCTCTTTCGACCACAACATCAGGCCCGACTGGACAAACAAACGACTGGGAGGACGACGTCCCAGGGAACGACTGCATGGCCTCATTGCCCCCACACTGCCCCCTTCATACTTCCACCTTGCCCCCTCGTTGCCCCCACACTGCCCCCTTCATACTTCCACCTTGCCCCCTCGTTGCCCCCACACTGCCCCCTTCATACTTCCACCTTGCCCCCTCATTGCCCCCACACTGCCCCCTTCATACTTCCACCTTGCC